GCAAACTGCCATGTCAAATGACGCTGCGTTAGGTTTGCCACCATGGTATGCAAATATGAGATGGAAAGAGTTTTATACAAACCCTGAAGTGGGATATAAACAACTTTATGCAGATGACGCGAACACAGGAGTTGACCCAGAATATGTTTTCTACCAGAGGAGAAATAGAATGTATGAGCTCCAGTTAAAGAATGCTATGGAACTCAACAGGAAACGTAAGAGACTAGGCGGACATTAGATTTTTACATATAGTAAAATGGGTTTCTTCAGTAAGATAGGAAACTTCTTTCGAAATGTTGGAAGAGGTATATGGAATGGAATAAAATCTGTCGGAAGAGGAATTTGGAACGGAGTCAAAAATATTGGTAAAAGAGTAGGTCAGTTCGTTGGTATTATACCTAAAGACCCTGAACCAGAAGAACAAGCTCCTGTTATACAACAGCCTGAACCTGCACCACAGTCTAGTTGGCAACCAAATCCAACACCTCAACCGTATTAAAAAATTATATTTTTACCGTTCGATAGTAGTTGTATATGAAACTAAGTTCTAAGTAAAACGCGTGGTATAATGGAATTATTCTCTTTCTTCCATCTGTTGTAAACCATACTTGAAAGTCTGAAATACTTCCACTTGGTGGTTCGTATAACTTTGTAGGTTTTTCGTAAAAGTCATTTGCCAAGCATAAAAAAGAGTTTTGTGCACCAGAAAATGAAGCATGAACTATAATAGCATCTGAGTCGAAAACATTTTCATATGTTCCATTAGGGTTTTCGACTTCATAAAAGTTCGGGTGTACTGGATATTCTGCAGGCTGATTTAACATCCTCAAAAATCTATACCATGCCAAGTTGTTATATTTTGTAGAAATATAAACGTCTTCTCCAAGGTCTTCTATTCTATTGATTTTAACAGTTGCATTTTTCCTGTCATATATAATATCGAGATGGTACTCTCCTTCGTCAATGTTGTACTGTTTTGCATATTCGAGATAGATATCGTTTATTTTTTCTTGAAAAGCTTGAAGAGTTGTTTCTAAGTTTACAAGCAAATTCACTTGTAAAAGTTTTCCCTGTTCAAATTTCTCATACGTATGTTTTTCTTTGTTATAGTATCGAATTTCAAAAGCGACCGTAAATGGGAAACCATGTATGGCTTCTGAAATGAACTTCATTCTACGAAAGCCAATAGCTTTTGTGACGGATGGGTCTCTTAGCCATCTTAGTGGGTAGTCAAAACGATAGCCTTCATGCTTTACGGTCTCTGTCTCAAACTTTTGACCTACGTTAGTAAAAAGTTCATCTAATGGTTTAGTTGTAGCAACTCTTGAATTTTCTTTTTCTATTGAAAGCATATTTTATCTAGAATAAAAATGTCGAAAGAAACAGCGTCTATGAGAGAAATACAACACAACCGACAACTCATTTTGCAAGCTCTAAATAAGAACACAACAAACTTTTCAAACTATTCTAAGATATCTGAGTCATTGAAAGAAGGAAACTTAAAACTGACGATAAACCCAATGACAGATGAGTTTCTGTTTCAAGACAGTAAGAACCATACTGTCTGTGTAAATCCAACAAAAGGAACTTTAAACGAGAAGCCTATAAAAGAACTTCTTTTGAAAGCAGATATTGACAACAAAGCTGACAAAGAGTATGTAGACGATGCAATAGCATATGTGGCTAGTGGGTTAGTGAAGAAGGCAGATAAGGAATATGTGGATGAAAAAGATGAAGAAATTAAAAAAATGGTTGAATGGTACCATGAACGGACATCGAAGATTTTAGAAGGTAAAGCCAATACAGGGTGGGTTTCAGAATGTTTAGACCTTAAAGCGGATAAGAACCATACACATACCATTGCAAATATTACAAACTTACAAGAAACCTTAAACAGGAAAAGTGACGTTGGACATACACATACCATTGCAAATATTACAAACTTACAAGAAACCTTAAACAGGAAAAGTGACGTTGGACATACACATAGCTTCTTCGCAACTGTTGGTATAGAAAATATTGAAGGAACGGTTGAAGAAACTGGTGGGGATGCAATATATTGTAAACCTCCTAACTTTCCACAAGGTTTAACATCGGATGACGACATAACAACGATGAGAAACATTAGATGTAGAGATGTTTATGTCATGGAGGATGAACATAATATTAAATTCACTGCTCAAGATTTATATGACAAGAAAGCAGACAAAACAGAGCTTCAAACATTAAAGACAGAAATACTTCAAACCATTTACCCAGTTGGTTCTATTTATACGTCAATGAACTCTACCAGACCAGAAGTAGTACTTGGTTTTGGAACTTGGACTCAAATACTCGAAAGTTTTTTGTATTGTGCACACACTCCAAAGAAAACAGGTGGAAGTAAAACGATATCTGTCGACAACTTGCCACCACATAGTCATTCTGGTACAACAAGTTCTAATGGAAACCATAGTCATAGGGTTTGCAAACAAGGATATAACACTGTTTCTCAGACTTCAATGCAAATTCAAGTTATGTCAAGATCTCATTTTCCAAACGACCCAGTAGACTGGAATGGAATGTGGACAGATACAACTGGAAACCACCAACATACTTTTACAACAACATCTACAGGACTAGGTAAAAAATACATGCCACCTTACATGACAGTTTGTGCATGGTATAGAATTGCTTAGTCGTCATTTTCAACTTCTTTAGCATATTCGTCAGGAGTTGTCTTATATTTGTTAGGAACTGTCTTTGAAAGTATACCACCTTGAACCTTAACAAGTTTGAAACGAGGTCTGACAATAGTAGTTTTATCTTCTGCTTGCAGTCTGTACATTTTGCCATGTTTGCCTAAAACTTCATAATATTCTCTTGTATACTTTCTTCTATTTTTACGAACACGAAGGTGAGTACCTGTCGGGTTCCCATTGTTGTCATAGTCAATAGTATTTTCATATGGGTCGCGTTTAGGTATTTCTATTTTTACTTTGTCACCTTTCTTAAGTTTGAAGCCTGGCATTCTTTCTTGTTTGTCTCTTTTGACTAAATTATTAAATATATAGTCTTTCTCTAAGTCAGGGTTGTTTTTCATTTCTTCGGGGGAGTGGTTTCCCAAACCTTTTTGTTTACGGTTATTGTAAATATTTAAAACTTGTCTCATCTTTGCCATGGAGAAGTGTCTATATTTGTCGTCATATGACATTTCATCTACCTCACCACCTTGTGGTGGTTTAAGTCTCTTAAGATTTTTATACAACTGTCAATGACACAAGAGCAGAATGGTTTTGGTCGACAATGAAATATTGGTTTACATTTTTTGAACGCAGATAGTTTTTTACATCATCTGATTTGAAAGAACTTTCACAGTCAGATGTCAGTTTTGTTGGATGGTATTTGTCAACGAATATTGTCAAAGCTGCTAAGATATCTAAAATATTTTTGGACTGTAATGGTATGGCTTCACAGTATCTTGTGTTTTGACCAACAAATATTAGCCAGTATGGTGGTCCATCTTCTCTATACCTCGGAATGTTTTCCAAGATATCCATAAACCAAGCATTTGGTGTTGAACTAAAGATTTTTATCATGAGTGCTTTCTTTGTTGCCTTAGAAACATAGGGGTCCTTGTTTGGATTCGTCATTTTTTAACCCATAAGAAATGGGTTTATTTGGCGCATTAGCAGGAGTTGCATCCAGATTTTTGCCCGCAGTGGGAACACTAGCCAGAGGTGCATTTGGAATTGGAAGGAAGATTTTGAGTACATTAGGTATACTGAAAGAGAAAGCACAACCTATTATACAAACTGTACAGAAAGGTTGGGATGTAGCACGAGATGCAGCAAATCTTATTCCAAATCCTGAAACAAGAGGAAAAGTTCAAGGATGGATGGATAATGTTTCCAGACAAGCAGGAAACTACTATAACAAAGCAAATGACTACTATAACCAAGCAGGGCACTATATGGACCAAGGTGAAAGATTCTTTAACAGAGGATATAACCATGCACAACAGTGGGTAAACAACAACCAACCGCAACCGCCTCAAACGTGGGGAATGTAAATTTTTTTACTGAGATGAAATGAACAATACAGCATTGAGACAAATGGGCTCAAGATGGATTTGTCGGCTTCCAGCAGTTACACAACCACGTGTTTGTCAAGTTCTTCCTATACCTCAAGAAGTTTTAGACCGACTTAAAAAACCTAAACAACCAGTTGAAAACAAACCAAACTAAAATTTTTTACTGAGATGAAATGACCGAAGAAGTTGAAACGGTAGATTTGACACCACAAACAAAAAGTTCAGAACCATTGTCAAAACCTGTCAAAGAACTTACAGATGAAGAAAAAAATTCAATAATAGAAAGTGCCAGGTCTGGAAATGCAAACCCTAACTACAAAGTCACTTTTCATAGAAATGGAACGGCTAGTATCTCAAAAAAGAAACAGACTCTCACAAATAAAATATTGAAGTCTGAAGGAGCTTTCGAGACAACAGATGGAAAAGTATATTTTACCGACGAACAGTTCATTATAGAACATCTCATTGACTTAGAGTCGAAATATTCTAAACTTTACAACAAACACAAAAAGTTGAAAGGAAAACAAAAACAAATGGCATATGATATTTATGAAGATGTTGACGACACTACTGTTCCAGCAAGTGAGGTAAAGTCAAATGAACCGAAAAGTGACGAAAAACCGATAGAAGAAGAAAAACCAAAAACTGAAGATAAACCAAAACCAAAGGTTAGTTTCAATACTAAAAGTCAACCTTCATTAGCTGGTATGGGTTGGCGTCAAAGACTTATGGCAGCAGGCGGTTACGTAAAGTAAAGAAAAAACATTTTTTTATTTTTATAAAAATGCCCCCATATAGAATGGATAGAAAATCTGCTAGAATAAAAGCAGAGTTAGAAAGATATGGTTGGAAAGTTTCGAAGAATTTTAAATATAGGAAGGGAAGACCCATAAAAGTCTATGACAAACTGGCTGGTCTTCGCTATGAAATGGACTTAGAAACAGCACGCGCAAACTATCCAAACAGATTAGAGAGGTTAGAAGAAGAACGTCTTATGGACATACCTTTCGATGTTACTGAGCCTCAAGTTGAAGGACACGACGGCTTTGCCAGATTCTACTGGAAACATGACGAACAATTGCATCCTTTGAGAAGGAAAAAAGGAAAAGGTGAAGACGCACATGCTCCCATGGAAAGAACAAGATATGCATATGAGAAGTATCGTGAAGTTAGAAGTCAAATTACATCTGGTCGAACCTTTACAGTAAACTTTGACGAAGGAAAGAACAAAGAAGGCTTCATGGGTGTACTTGCTGCAATTCAAGACGGAAATAAGAAAGGATACAATCTCAGACTAACCGTAACAGATTTGGACGGTCATATATACTATGCACATGGCAATGTCACAACAGCTGCAATGCTTCTTGACGCTTTCAAGACTACAAAGAGAGAACAAATGGTTGACTCCGACTCAGACATTTTGAATGCAATTGAAGGAATTTCAAGCGTCAAGTTCGAATGGTACCAACCTAACCCTCAAGCAGTCAGACAACATGCTGGATACTTCCCGTTCATAAATAAGTCTGACATTGACTTGACAAGGTATGGAATTTACAATTCAATTGAAACAATTGTCAATGAACCTTGTATTCTTACATGTCTCAGGAACTCTGGTCTTGTTTCAGAAGAGAAGATGAAGTATCTTGAGTCATGTGTGAAGACAAGGTACATTCTCAGAGGTCAATTGGCAAAAATTGCACCGTTGGCAAATGTCAATATCCGAGTCAACATACCGACTGAGAAAGGTTCTTCGCACGATGACTATGTTGTTGACAAAGACTTACCATGGTTGAAGATTGTAATTGTCCACAACCACTTCATGTTGAACGAAAGTCTTACAAACCCATTGTTCGGAAAAGGCAAGTGCAACATTGTCAGAGCTGTAAACATTCTTTTCGAGAAAGGTTTGTTGGAACCAATTCCAGATGACAAGCTGACAGAAACTTTTGTACCAAAAGACGAAACAAACTTTTCATTGTTAGCAAGACCAAAAGTTGTTCCAGACAAAGTTCTAGTACAAAAGAAGTACACAATTCCAAAAGGAGTTGGATTGTTCGGATACCAACCTGAACCAGAAGAACTTCCAATGAGGTTGCAAGAACTTCAAGATGCTATAAACAAACTTCCATTGAGACATCCAATTGACGTCAAATTGTATTGGAGAGCATCTGAGTTAGGTCAGAAGGTTTTATATGAAACAGGTTGCTTCGACGATGTTTATGAGATAACAGGAGAAGTTTCTCAGAAGATAAGAGACTCACTTGAATTTCCACGAACTGGACCCATTGGTTGCGACAAGTTCGACTCAAACGAAAAAATATACTATGTCGACCTTAACGCTGCGTACATGAGGTTTGTCCAATATATTCCAACTGGAATTCCAAACGAAGATGGTGAGTTCCCAGGAAGGAACTATACAGTTGGAAAAGTCATACAACAACTGTATGATATTAGGAAAGCTTCAAACCCCAAACTTGCAATGACACTCAAATTGCTTATGAATTCGACATGGGGATATTCCATTAAGAAACCTCAAGAGATGAAGAGTAAACATTATGAGAAGGTCGACAACTTTGTTGAAAGGTTTTCTCCTTTTGTTTTGAAGTACGAATTCACTCAAGGTCAAAGTGGCTTAGTAACCACATTAAAACCTATTGTCGAACATTGGTCTTACCCTCAGTTCGCAAAGGCAGTCCTTGACAACTACAACAAATTCTTCTCCGAAGTCAAATCGAAAGTCAAGGTTTACTATGAGAACATTGACGCACTCATGACGAACGAAGAAGGATACAACAAACTCATTGAAATGGGTTTAGTCGGTGAGAAGATGGGTCAATTCAAATTGGACAAAATTTTCACCGAAGTTCATGTCCTCTCCAAGCGTAAGTATTGGGGCATACTTGAAGACGGCACAGAAATAAAACATTGCATGAAGTAAAAAATTTTTATTCGAATTTGAATCGGACAGGTCGAGTTACACCATTCTTGGTCTCAAACTCATATATAACCTGTTTGTTTGTATTTTCGTCGACTATGGCACGAGACACGAACATTGACCAAACGTACAAAAAGTGTCATTTCGGATGGTCAAGCAGCCAATCGCATTCGAGCACTTCGAAGAAGCCTTACGTTCCAAGGAAGAGGGTGTCTGGTGCAAGGGAGAGGTCATGAGACTCTACGAGCAGTACATCCTCAATGCCTGGGAGGACAAATCGTCCTTGGATTGGCAAATCTACCAACTCCTCTGGGACGACCTCCTACGCAACTGGGATGACGAAAGAGTCCAATTCAAAGGTCGGGAACTAATTTTGCAAATTGACCTTAATTTCACATACTTATCCAAATAAACACCTAAATTTACTTGGGGTTTCCCCCTAAAATAAAATTTTTTTACTCTTAGAACCACTCGAGGTTCTCCTTACGGTTGTTGAGCTTGTCACCGTCAATGTGTCTGACCCTCGTCTTCTTGTCTGGATTTGGAACCCATTGCATACCGACAAGCCTTCCCATGGAAATTGTACCGCGATTCCGAAGGGTAAGGTTCAAGTGTCCCAAGTTGTTGAGGACTGGGGTAAGAACCTTGCCTGTCTCCCTGTTGCGGATTTTGTATGGGTAGGGTTGGGAAATTTCATAACTGTCATCGGCAACAAGGGTTGCCCAAACTTCCTTTTCTTCGTGTTTCTCTTCTTCTTCCTCTTCTTCTTCGTGTTCCTCTTCTTCCTCGAAAATTCCTTCTTCAATTTGGTGCTCACGAATTACGGTGTTGGAGGTTCTGTCCTTTCCGAGTACCTTCCAGATGGCGTCTATCTCTTCGAAGAAACGGTAGATGAGTCTGGCAAGGTCTCGGTTCTCTCTCGCGTAAATGCGCAAGGTTTCCGTCAAATCATTCAGGACTTTCTCATTGGAAGCTTGGTTCATGAGGAACTCACCTTTAAGTCCCTTCATCTCTTCCATAAGACTACTTTGGAGAGTCTTAACGGTGTTTGTCAGATGAGCTTTCAAATTCAAAATTTGAATTTGAACTGGGCGCTTGTCTGGCAACATTGAAAGGACATCTGCCATTGTGTTCGGCTTCGGTGCTTGTTCGGACATCGAAAAAATGAAGTGGTTTGAGAATGGCGGTTTTACTTCAAAAAGCTTGTTATGACGGTTAAGTCATACAACAAGTTTAAAATAATATCTTGTTCTTCTTCTGAACGTTTGTTGTCTCTTCCGATAAAAGTTTGGAACATGAGAACCAAAAAACGTTTTTTGAGATTGCGGAAGAGTTCAGGCAAATTTTCATATTCTGGATATGTTGGGAGCAGTTCAAAACATCTGAGCTGACTTTCGGACAAAATTGGGACAATGTCAGAAAATTCATCTTTGGTCGGACTGCTTGAAGGTAAGTCCCTTACATGTAAGTAGCTCTGGTAAAGTCTTCTCATTTCTGCTAACTTTTGGAGTATAGCTTCGTAGTTTAGAAGTTTTAATTTTAAATGTCTTATTCCACTCTTGACATCTAAACGGTAGCTATCCATGAGGTCAAGAGTAGCTTTGGTAGCTTTAAGTGGAGCTATTTGTTCCTTGACTTCTGCAATTTTGGTTGCAATTGTGGTTTGAGCTCCTTCAAGTTCGCCGTCTATGTCGTTCTCAACGTCTTCAAGCATGGCTTGAAACTCTTCATCGGTCCATTGAGATTGGTGTGGGACGAATTTAACTTGCTTCATTCAAAAAATGAAAAAAATGTTTTTACTCTAAACGTTAAGGTTTACTGAACTGGTTGGATGTCGCCTTCACAGGTTATGTAGAACGGCTGACCCGAGAAGTGAAGGAGACCCTTGAGAATTTGGCTCATTCTTGGGAAAGGGTTCTCTCTGGTTGGAAGTTGTATCCAAGGACGCTTGGCAAAGAACTTGAGAAGAGCTTCTTTCTTTGCTTGCTTTATGTCGTCGTAGGCTGTCCCGTCTGGTATTTGAATTGGAATTCCAGTCGAAGTCTCGAGATTCAAGGCAGCCCTTCCCGTTATCCAACAGTTAACAAGCTTGCCTTTTACATTCTGCCTGAGGAAGTCTTTAACAAGCTCGTTAATTTCAATTAGGTAAATTGCCTCGTCGGTAGGTTCGACCTCGACCATTGCTACTAGCAGTAAAAGTACTGCTACTGTCAGAAAAAGTACTGCTACTGTCAGAAAAAGTACTGCTACTGTCAGTAAAAGTACTGCTACTGTCAGTAGCAGTACTGCTAGGAGCAGTAAAAGTACTGCTAGGAGCAGTAAAAAGGAAAATTTGAGAGGGTTTTCGACGATAAAGTACTGCTACTGTCAGTAAAAGTACTGCTACTGTCAGAAAAAGTACTGCTACTGTCAGAAAAAGTACTGCTACTGTCAGTAAAAGTACTGCTACTGTCAGTAGCAGTACTGCTAGGAGCAGAGATTTTTATCGTTGTGGTCCGACGGTTAAGCCACAAACGAATGTCCGACGTCCCACCAACCGAGCCCATTCCCAAACCAGAGGAACCTAAAGCACCAGCCCCTGCACCTCAGTTCCAGCAAGTCCCTCCACCAAATTACTACCAATTTCCACCTCAAGGTTACTACCAATTTCCACTACAAGGCTTCCCGAACTACCCTCCTCAGCCTATGCCTTACTTCCCCAACCCTTGGATGTTCCAGCAAGCTCCACCCCAGCAATTCCAATCTCAATCCAAGAGAGACCAAGAGTTCGAAGAAGGTCTGAACCGCTTACGCAAAGATTATGCCACAGCCCCTATGGAAGATGACAGGCTTTCAGTCTCTTCCCTCAAATCGACCGATTCGACTCGTACCACAGATTCGGTTCGTGACCGTGAAGACTACCTCAAGCAGTCTGAGAGACTCTTCATCCTACAATCATTTACAACTGGAGCTCTCAAGAACATGCGCAATTACGAAGGTCAGACACCAGCTGGAGACCGCAAAACAGACGTACTCGCAAGAGCAGTCCAACTGGTCAAGACAAAGACCGAGATAGTCGACTTCATTCTTGCAGCTTGCCCATACAAGTAAAAAAATAAACAATTACGAGTTAAACTTTTTACTCTTTCTTTTCTGAGTTGTTTAGAGCTGGTTTCTCTTGTAGAAACCTTTCGTACTCCTCCATGGTCATGTAATTGCGAATTTGGTACGCAATTCCAGGTTCGTTGTTTTTGAACCTTACGTATGTAACGCTTCCATCCTCCTCAGGGAAGTAAGCTGCTAACATCTGACCAAGTTTTCTCGGTGACTCGGAGCTCATAAAAATGTCACTTTTTAAACGTTAAGTTTTTAGTCTTATTTTACCCTTTGTTTACCCTTTGTTTGTCAAGGTAGTATTGGAGTGCAATTTCTCCAAATTCTCTGTGTCGGAGTTCTTCAGCATTTTCCAAGGTGTACCTGGAGAACTCAAAGAAGTTGTCAAGAACATACTGCCATGCTGCTCTTCTGAGTTCGTCGGTATTTTGGAAGTGTTGCACCTTCGAGTCTTCGGACATGAAAAAATAACACTTTTTCTATTAAACCGTTTTCTAACATGGTCTAAAACTCTTGAATTTTCATGAAATTTACACCAAAAATATAATTTATGTTAGAATGTTAGATCTAACATGTTTTCTAACACGTTTTCTAACATGGTCTAAAACTCTTGAATTTTCATGAGTTTTGACACTTTCACAAAAAACATAAAAAATAAAGTTGGTTTTTTTAAAAAAATATTTTTTTATTTTTATTGTAAGAACATGTTAGCAACTACAGCACCAAACTCGCTAGTTATGAACCCAACTTCAATGTTAGTAGAGATGAAAAGCTTCATTCCTTCTTCATATACTTTCGAAACAAAAATCCAGAAGATAAAGCAGGAATTGTTAACAAGTAATTTAGACTGTAGTGCGAAAGATGAAACAAATGAACAGTATCTTTATGAAATGCAGGACATTATTGACCATTTACCCAAATTGCCTGAAATCCAACAACAAAAACTAACCATTCCCGAATTTGACGAAATAGAAGTCAAAGCAACTGACTCAGTAGAAATAAAGAAGTTCATACGAAAGGTAAATTATGAATTCCTTGGTTTTCATTGCAACCATAAGGTTATGGACAAAGATTGCGACATGGTATATAAGAACATCTCTGACCTTTACAAATCCGAAGAATTTAAGACCTACGACAACTTTGTTTCGTTAGTTGCAAAATGTGTTTGGGAAATAAGAGATAAAGATAGTAGGGGTAAGGTATGGAACGAACAAATAAAACCCGCTATGTTCGAGATGAAGAAAACCATTGACGCCTTGGTTGTTTTAGCAGGTAAGGTTTCAGAATATAACGCAAAAATGAACCCGCAATGTTCAAAATGTAAAGCAGCAATGAGGAAATATAACTACTCCGTCAAAGAGATAGAACGTATGCGAAACGACTATGCTGACTTAAAGAAAGAAGCAGAAAAGCCAGCAGAAGATAAAATGGACATGTTGACATTTCTAAACAAAAACTATCCAACCGCTAACGATTTCCTTCTTTCAGATGTCAAGAAGAAGTATAAAGAAACTTTCGGTATCGTTAAAACTTTTGACATACTGACAGAAGAAATAGAAGCTACGAAATTGTTTAGAGTCATGAACCATCGCAACATATACCATGTAAAACGCTTGTAAATAGTTATGTTAGAAAACATGTTAGAAAACATGTTAGATCTAACATTCTAACATAAACATTATTTTTATTGAATTCCGTATGAAATTTCATGAGTTTTGTATGTTTTAGACCATGTTAGAAAACATGTTAGAAAACATGTTAGATCTAACATTCTACCCTAAAATATATTTTTATTGAATTCCGTATGAAATTTCATGAATTTCCTCGGAAAACCGAGAGAAGAACAGCGAGTAGTGAAAAAACCCTGGTCGCCAAAACTCTTTATTTTTCAAGCTTGACTTTTTACAATTTGAACTTTGTTTGCGTAGATATGAATTCTGAAAGAAGTATGAGGGTCTTGTATGACTTTGTACTTCTCCCATAGTTCATGTCTGTCAAACTTACCTGCCATGGACTCTTTCATAAGTTCCATGAAATCGTCTTCTGACAATCCTGGGAAAAGTATAATATCAGTAAGTATTCTCTTTACATCCTTACTTAAACTCTTTGCTGTCTGTACACAAATGACAACTGAAATGTTAAAGTGTCTGAGCTTCTTAAGAATTCGACACATGTCTTGTTCTCTATTCTTTAACAAAGGATGAGAAGCAAAGTCATCTAAGATAAGAAGACATCTGTGAGGGTAAGTCTTCCAATCGTAAGATTGCAATTTCTTCGAAATGTATTCTATCTCTTTCTGTTTGTTTCTGAAGTGTTTCTTCTCTAATATTCTCTGCATTTCCTCATTTGGGTCTTTAAACTTAGAATTTATATACTCATTTATAGCATTGTACTTCAAAACTCTTCTTTGGTACTTCTTTATCCAATCTAACAACTCAGTATCTTTTATACATACTAACTTAGACTTTTTTATAATATCTTTGAACGAATTTACGGTTTGGTCAAATTGACCAGAAGTACTACAAATGACTACTAACTCATAGAATGGGTTCTTCTCATCTAGTTCTTGTTGTTGTGCAGCCATTTTAAGATAAGTGAAAGTCTTACCCGACCCAGGTGGTGCAATTAGACCTGTTATACCATTCTGAGCAAATAAGAACTTGTCATGTATGGGTTTTATCTGAGCATTTTCTAACTTCCTCTTGTTCTTGTTTAAAACATTCTCAAATTTCTTGTCAATGTCAGCAAACTTTTTTTCTAACATATTTTTAGAAAAATTAAAATTTTTATCTTTTTGAAAATGTCTAGCGATTTCGCTATCTATATTCGAGATAAGCTTTTTGACAGCAAAACATCTGTCGACCATAAAATCTTACATAGTGTAAACAAGAAAGGTGAATTTGTTCTAAAGTTCTGTTTCTGGGAATATGACAAGAACCATAAAACATTAAGCAGAGAAGTCTTTAAGTTTGTCAATGACAGACTTGTTGACAGAGATGACGCCGATTGGAAAGATGAAGTCCAACAAAAGTTCTTAGAATGCAAAGAAGACACATGCGCTGTTCTTGAAGATGAAATAGAAAACAGAATAGAAGAGCTATTAAAGGACAAAGACCTTTTACAAAAATATGGTTCTGAGAAGTTTGACATAACTCCACCAGAGAAGAAGAAGAAGAAGAGAGAAAAGAAAGAAAAGAAAGTAGAAGAAGAGAAGAAAGAGCCAGAGCCAGAGCCAGAGAAAAAGAAATTTGACATGTAAAAATAAAATTTTATTTTTAGAACATTTCTGGGTCAATGTCAATGTTCTCTTCCTCTTTAGGAGCAAACACTGGCTTAGACTCTAAAATCTTTTTACCCAATTTACCTTGAACTTCAACTATCTTAGACTCATAATATTCATAGTCGTCTGCTTTCTTTGGTTCATAAGGTATAACAAGTTTGTATGCTTTGCCTTCTTTAAGGTTTGAAAACCTTCTGTCAAAATTTTCTTTGACTGCTAACAAACCTTCTATGTCTAAGTCTTCAAATTTCGCACCATTTTTAGTCACAATAGCAAACTTAACGGGTTCGATGTTCCAAACTTTGTCATATGTAGACTTTTCAAAATGGTAGAAGTAAACATTCAAATATGTGAATGGGTCTAGTTCTTCTTTAAGTCCTGTCATGTACTTGTTGACTGAAATATATTTCGTCATCTTTTCTATCGGATAAAAAAATATTTTTTTTAAAATTTACTCATAAAAATTATTTCTTTCTATATTTGCCATTCCGAACTTCGAAAAGATGTTTTATACCAGCATAGAATTTTTCTCTAGAGCTTAGTCTTATATCGTTTTCATGACAATATTTTCTATATTCTTCATATAAAGCCTTTTTTTCATACATTTCATAAGGACAATCTAACCAGAATAGCGCATATCTATTTTCGTTATCTTTGACTTCTGTCATGTACTTATTTACTGAGATGAATTTTGTCATCTTTTCTATCGGATAAAAATATTTTTTTAAAATTTACTCATAAAAATTTTTCTTTGTATATACGCCGTTCTGAACATCTAAAAGACTTTTGACATTTGCCAAGAATGTACGTTTAGAAGCTGCCATATAACCATATTCTTGACAATATTGTTTATACGAATCGTACAATGACCTTTCATCTAAACACTCAAAGTCAGTTTCATCTATGAACAGTTCATATACACTCTTGTTTGCTTCTAACAATGTTTGTCTCTCTTCGGTATGTGGAATTTGTCTTGGATTGAACTTAGAAATATCTAATGTCATAAAATATGAGAACAAGTGGTTGTAAAAGTCAGATGTCAAAGTTTCTGCTAAGTCGTCAAAATATTCTGTATCTTGCATATGAGCTTCTGACGTTCTGACAACTACATATCTTCTGTCAGAACTTTCTAACTTCATCGGAACAGCATTGTTTGAAACCATAATGAAGTTTGCAACATTTTCACAAACTCTTTGGTCTTTATATTTTCTTTCAACAACTCCAACTTTGTCTGTTATAAGACTCTTCAAAGCATCTGAGTTCAAAACTTTTGTTGTATCTATACTTTGAAGTTCGTTACATACTATAAGTTTCATATTCTCTATTGAAGAGTTAAATTTACCGCAGATGTTTTCTAAGTTTGTCATATTCGGGTTCGAATAACCTTCTAACAGTTTGCATAAGATATCTGTAAAGAAAGTATTCTTACCTGTTCCTTGTTTTCCAATTATAATGAGAGCAGTTTCATTTTTAGCACTTGGATGTTGTAAGATGTTTGCAAACCAACATAAGATATACTCATAAACCTTTTCGTTTCCATTGCATATAATTTCTTTGACATGGTCTAACCAAGCTTCTATAATATTTTCTTTCCATTCTACTTGTTCGTATTTATATCCAGTGAAGATAGAATAGAAGTTTGGAGAAGGTGTATAAAACTTTATACCACGAACTGAAAAATCTTCTAACTTCGACAATAAGATATCCCAAGCATCTAACATCTTCATTCCAACTTGTACGACTTTTATTTTCTTAAGTTTCTGTCTACATTCTTGTTCTGAAACTATTGTTGCTTTAGGTTTGTTAAAGACAACATCCCATTCTTTCATAACATAACATTCTGGGGCAGAGTCGACATAAATGACTAAACGTTTCAAATTCTCGACTGCTTTGTTATAGTCTCGAAATGGACACATATTTCTGAATGTTTGGAAGTCATAAAAATCTGAAACATCTATTCTGTACATTTTTATAAAAATAAAAAAAATATTTTTTTTATTCTTGAGCTATTTGTTGCATTTGTTGTTCTTGAGCTATTTGTTGTTGAAGTTGTTCTTGTAATACAATACTTTCACCAGTTGCATCTTCCAATTCGAAACTTTCTGCCGTCATTGACAAATACATAGGACATAAAAGTTTTACAGGAACAAAGTTTGCGTCAACTAAGGTTAAGTTTATGTTTGCTAAAGTGTTTGAGTTTACTAAAGCTGAAAACTCTGCATTCGAATGAACAATAGGCAAACCAGCAGAGAAAGTGTTGTTTATACGCATGAGTATCTTTTGGTCATAGTAGTTTCTGTCGACATTCGAATAGCACTTTGAACCTAAGTTTGAAACAATATATAAAATAGGTGTACTTAAAGTCAATGGAACAGACAAACCTTGTATGACACCTTTTCCTGTTATAGGAAACTGTTGGTAGTAAAAACCAGATATAAGTTTTTGTATTATAGCTCATATCGTTTATACTAAACTCAGTCGGACATCCAAACATAATGAACCTGCTTCTAGTTGCAGCACATGTTACATCCGTCCTTAAAGTATTAAATAAGTCAACAAAACCTGTTGGTGGTATATCTGAGTAAGTATCTTCAAAGAAGTATTTTTTACCATTCACAACAACAAAGTCTTCTGGTGTCAAAAGAGCAAAACAGGCTTTAGTCGTCATCGTGTTAAGGTCAGTTTACAATATCGTCCTTGAGGACTTTGTAAGTTTGTTGTTATAGAATTATATGACTCAGGGTTTTAGTCGTATAGTATAAACCACTATGTCTTCTGCCATTTACTTAGCAAGTAAATTTTAATGAAATGTTGTGGTCGTCAAATATTTTTATGACGTCTGGGAAACTATATTTTAAGTTCAACGTTTCACCTCCTTTCATAACGTATATCTTGTCAATGACATTGTATGAAACACCAGCAAGCAATGTCGGGTTCTATTTCTTTGATGTTTATATCGTCTGCCTCTGTCAAAGTTTCAATAGTTCTTTCAAAATTTCATGAGGTGCGATGACATATGAGTTCACTTTTACAGGGTTGTGCTCAACCAAGTTTAACATTATACCCAAAGCCTGACAAATCTTCTCCTGAGTTTTAAGTTTGTCTTTAAGTTGTTGGTAGTCGTTTCGAATATCTGCAACAGAACTTAAGTCTCTGCTAACTTCAGGATATGTTGGTTGTTCTTTTACAGGAACAATTGCTATACCATCTTCGTCTTCGTATGGTTTCCCCACTTCAACATCTCTTTCTTTGACATTGACAACAAACTTTGACTGTTTGTTTGAGTTGGTGAATTTAACTTCACATCTGCCACCGCCATTAAACCTTTTGAAACACTTACGCTTCTATTTTTCGGAAATGACATTTTACTTAGAATAAAAAGATGGACGTATTCGAGTATCTCTTCGAATTGAAGCAGAACAAAGTTTACACACACAAACAATACAAGTTCATTGACAGAGTAGTTCTTTATACAAACAATGGAAAATGTTATAGAATAGCAGTCTTTGCTGAACCAAAATATTTTCATAAAGCAAAGAAAGTTGGTATAACCGAGATGGTGAAAGTTCTTGACGTTGACAAAAATATAACTTCAAAACTTACAGATATTTCTAAAGGAAAGTTTATAATACAATATTATATCAAAACTGGCGTACTGTCAATATTTGACGGAGAGAAGTCAGTTCAAGAACAACTTACTGACCTGCTGCCAAAATCTGCTCGATGGAAGCTGTCGTTATACCAATCTGAGGAGCCCCAGCAGGTTTCATCGAACGAATCTTCAAAAGAGCATCTTCCGTGAAAAGTGCTATTGGTTTTGTAAACTTCTTTGCTTTCAATTCATTTGGACCGTCTCTGTCACCAGTATATTGTATTTGAACTGTACCAACAGTTGAAATACCACCCATAAAGTCTTCTGAGTCAGCAAATGGAATGCCAAGCCAAAAGTTTGAACGGTCTCCATTTGTATATTGAGTTTTTTGACTCCTGTATGAGTCCATACTTTCACATATGGCATAATAGAACTTTGCATTTCAGGGTTAATGGTTGTTGTGAAGTTGTTGTTAAAGTTCATAGCATCTAATGTCAAGTTGTATGACCTCATATCCTCAACTGTAGAATATTCTTCTCTTGGATAGTATTTGCCATCTATGTTTATATGGTATTTAATACCAGGGTTGTAGAAGCAAGAATAGTCATTTATAGTTCGTCTGAACAGTACAAACATAGTATCTGCATGTTTCATTGCAGTTGTTAAAGCAATATCTGTTCTTGCACCTGGGTCAGCACTTTGGTTTCCAACTTCACCTGCAAAGTCTTTGACAGATATTTGGTGTATAGGGAACATAAGTGGAACTGCAATATATTTGGCAGCTAAAGCATTTGAAATATCTGGGTCCAACATATAGACTGCAAGTCTGCTTTCTATTCTCTTGCATTCAAACTTTTTCGCATGTGAACTTAACTGGGTCCCAAGCAGTTCCAGCAGCATTGAAATAATAGTTTACTTCAGTGTTGAGGTTTGAGAAACCAAAGTCTAAGTCAACTTTGTCTTTGCAAAATCGGCGAATGACGTTTGATTTGCTCCCTTTACGTCTGTAAGAGTGAATGGGTCTTGTGTTGGTGCAATGACTAAGTTATTTTTGCTTGGAGTAAGTTCGATAGAAATTTTTCCTGCCCAGTTTGGCAAGTATCTTAAAAACCTGAAGATGAGGAAAGATGACAAAGGAACTCTAAGTTTCAGTTTTACTTTGGTTACTGCTGCTGCAGTTTGTCCAGAAAGGTTAACATAAACTCCTGGAACGTTAGGGTCAAGTCTTCTTATTTTCTCAATAGTTGCATACTGGTCTGTTTGTTCTCTAGCTTGTGGTTGTACTGAGTTTCTCAAAGCGAACCATTCATAGTTTGCCCATGTTACTGTTTGAACTAAGTCAGAGTTAGAATATATCTTATATCCCATGAAAACTTCTGGAGCATATTGGTATCCGACATAGAAAATTCCATTGCAACCTTTCTTGTCAGACAACTTGGCAGAAGGTTTTATTTCAATGTCTTGTTCCACGTATAAGAATGAGTTGTCAATAGAAATAATATGAAACCTGTCGCAAGCAATATCTACTGTTGTTGAAGAACCTTCTCCAAACTCACCTACGTTTCCATAAGAAACAGCAGTTGTATATTCGTAAGTTCCAGGAACTATTTCTGACCTTCTAATGGCATTGTCGCATTCGTTATACCATTCGGAAACATTTCCATTCATAGCATCCAAAACTGTTGGCGTTATATTCTGAGCGGCGTACATTTCATATGAGTAAAAATATAGAATAGTTGGATTTATATGTCATAATAGAACCCACGTGGACCAAGCTTTACTTTCTTCCTGACTGAGTTTTTAACTCTTCTTTTTCCTTCATTGCCCTCTGCTTGAAGTTGTTGCATCTTTGCATTATGTTCATCTAGTATGTTGCAAATTTCCCATGTCCTTTTTGCCTTTTGGCTCTGGTCGCCCATCTCAGGTAACCTATATCCTAGAAAGAGTTTGTCATAGTCTGTATTTGAGTCTTCGCGTATTGTTTGCATGACTCTTTCCTGAGTTTCCGGTTCAAGCTCTTCAAACAGTGCCTGTCCATATGGAATAAGCTCGTTTCCAAATATATGTTTTTGTAGCCATTCTGGTTTTCTTTCCATGTTACCAACTATATCTTTTGTGAATGGGAAAGCTTTTACCCAATCTTTCAGTCTTGCGTCGTTTATTTCTGTAGTTGGTTTTATTTTGTCAAGGAACATGTTTTTCAATACTAACATTTCATTTGGTACTGTCCATTTGAGTTTTCTTAAATATTCATCCCTTCTCGATTCATTGTCTGCAAAGTAAGTTTTTATGACATTTTGTAAACTTTCGTTTGCAAGGTCATGTACAATAGGTTCTCTTCCTTCTCTCCCTAACTTTCTTTCTAAACTCTTCACCAAATATACCATCTCTATGGTTCTGTGTAGTTCTTTGAGATAAATGTTCTAGAACGTCAGGTGTTATATTTCCATCAGCCATGTTCATTTCATACTGGTCCAAAATATCTGCATGTTTCATATCTTTCAATGGCATTAAAGCCGCGCTTAAAATACCAGCTATATCTGTTCACCATTGACTTCCATTGCGTCTACAACTTCTTGGAATTGTGGTTGTAAGTTTATGAACCACCTATCCGATTAGCTTTATGACCCCATCTCATTGTAGTTCCATCGTCTGCAGAAACAAAAGTAGGTTTGTTTCCATCTTGGTTAGGTTCTGAATGAACTTTAAACAATGTTTCATTTCTATATGTTTTCTTGAAATTTAACCTTTTATTTTCACCGAGTTCATCCGAAGATTGAACGTTAAATGCTCGTAAGTAAAAAGGGTTGTTGTATTTGTGTACATTTTCTTTCAGTACTTCCATTCTATGCTGAATATTTTCATCTGGTGTTGGAGTCTTTTGTATGTCGGCAAACATTTTTCGATATTCTTCTACTATGTCAGCCGAATTTTTTTTAGACTCTTGGAAATATTCCATATTCTCCGCATACTCTTGTTGAGGGTCAAGATTTTTCGGCTGTTCCAAATCTTCATCTAGTTCTGTGAAGTTAGTTTCCAAAGGAAGGACTTGTTCGTTTCCTTCAGGCTCTTCTAGCTGTTGTTGCTGAACTATTTCTTCCATGTCTGGTTGTATCTGAACTTCTTCCTGTGGAGTTTCTTGTACCTCATCTGCTGGCATTTCATATATTCCGAGACCGTTTTCAACAATTTCCCTATCTACGTCATCCGCATTCATAAGCTTTTGTTCTTTCGTTCCGTCTCTATTTTTTACGCGTTTCATGACGAAAGTTGAATTGTCATTTAGCTCTGACATCAAATATCTCGGAGTAAATTCATCCATGTCATTTGGATGATATGCTATTAAATCATATCCCTTAGCGAGCTTGTATTTTCCAGGTTTGAGATTATATCCGTTTTGGTGCTGAGCCATAAAGCTAAATAGGTTCGGGTCAGTATTTCCATCCTTGAACTTTCCAATAGCTTCTTTATATCTGTCACTAAAGTCAACAGTATCTGGGAAACCACACTCTTCTTTAAGCATTTTTAAGAATTCTTGGTTTCCTTGTTCTCTACTTCTTTTATGTCCTTGTTCTGTTTGTGGTTGTTGTTGTGCAGGGTTTTGAACTGTTGGTTGTGGAGGTGGCTGTTGTGCTGGATTTTGAACTGTTGGTTGTTGTGTTGGTTGTGGAGGTGGTTGTTGTGTTGGTTTTGGTGCATGCCTGTGTCTGTGTCCATGTGACGATGTAAATGTTTTAGGTAGTCCTGGTGCAGGTGCTTCTCTTGGAGGGTTTGGTGGTATATAAGTTCCACCAGCTGGCACATATGTTCCATCTGCAGCGTAATGTCCTACCTGACTTTTCGTTTTTAAGAAAGCATTTACTAGGTCTGTTTTGGTCTGTTGTAACTCTTTTTCTTGACTTTTCACAACAGTTGCTCTAACGGCGTCATAGGCACTTTGAACTGCCTGTCTCGTTGCTGCATCTGTTATTTTCGTCATATTTTGTGCTACTTCTCTTAACTCGTTGTCGAAACCTTCAGACTTCAGTTTCTTTCCAGATGAGAAGTCGTTCACTTGTTTCACCTTACTATGAAGAGCTTCGAAAGCGTTCTTAAAGTCAGCATTTGTTAAAGCTTCATTTGAACTATCTTCATCCGCTTGTATTTTTGTCCTTATTGACCCTATGAGTTGGGCTGCTTTAGCGTTGGCTTGGGCATCTAACCAGTCATTGTTAGCTTTTATATATTCTGCGCTTTTCATTGCCTTTTGCATAGCCGCGTCGTTATTTTTACTTTCTTGTGCTAAGTTTTCATACTGTACGGTTTGGTTTTGCAACTGTAAAAGTTTTTCTGCCTTTACATTTGCTTCAACTTCTTTTTTATACTCATCGCTATCCATATATGTCTTCAGGGCTTTTTGTTTTATCTCTTCATCTTTCAGTATTTTATATTGAGTAGTATGGTTTTTCAAATTTATGACATCTTGTTCCATTTTTGCTACTTCTGCTGCTTTTTCTGACACTTTTTTCGCATATTCCTCTGTACTTAGTTCTTTCAGTTGTTCTTCTTTCTTCTTTTTCTCTACGTTTAACTCATTGAGTTTCTTTGTGTGTCTGTCATATTCTAGTTTCTTTTCGTTTTCACTTATTTGCTTCTGTATGTCTATGTTTGACTTTTTGACATCTGTTATTTGATTTTTGAGTGAACTCAAATTCATTTGACTTTGAGGGTTATATGCTGTTCCGTCTGCAGCTCCACCATAGCCTGCCATTTTCGCTAAAAGTGCCGCTCTTAAACCTCCACTCTGTGCACCAGTAACTCGGTTTAAAAGCATAGGATTGCTTGACATTTGTTGCAACATAGTGGGGTCATTCAGCATTTGTTGTTGCAACTGTTGTTGTGGTGTTAGTCTTACTATTGGATGTTTCAATGCTCTCTTCCTCTTACGTATATTCTTACGTAGCTTACGTGGCATTTTAAGTGAAGTAAAAAACGGTTTTTGACAGATGTTTATATGACACTTTTTGTTCAGCACAAAAAACTACTCGGTCAAACTGTTGTCAGTTTGGTCATTTACACTCATTACGAAGAAGTCTTGACAAAACATTTTACGAAGAAGTCTTGACAAAACATTTACGAAGAAGTCTTGACAAAACATTTACGAAGAAATCTTGACAAAACATTTACGAAGAAGTCTTGACAAAACATGAAAACATATATAATTTGTGAAAAGCTCCTGGAAGACCTCCGAATAAAAACTTCATTTATGTGGGCTAGAAGGCACGAAGTGCCTGGAAGGTCACCCCAAGAAAAAAAAACTTCATTATACCAATCATCCTCAGGGCTAGAAGGCACGAAGTGCCTGGAAGCCCCACTACCTTTTTTTTTTTTTTTTTTTTTTTTTTTTTTTTGATATGCCTCTAAGATTTTAATAGTTTGGATCATGTTTTACTATAAAGCAATAGAATGTTAGTAAAGTTTGAATTCTCTGATATATATTGATAGCCCCTAGCTACTTGATTTAAAAGGATTTTGAGATAATGAAGACCCAGAACTTTGAGCCTCAAAAATCTATTTGATCTTCATTGAAAAGTCATTATTCTATGAAAAAATAACGTTTATGACTACTATTTAGGACTGATATATTCCCCTTAATTTGGTTTTGAAAAAAAGATGTATTTTTTTCAAAAATTCGCTAGTCTGAAAAGAGGATGTTTGTAAGCGTTATAGTATCTTTCGATTTCAAATTCTTGAAAATTCTCATCCAATGAAATTTTGATCGCATTTCGAAATTTTTACGACGCATGCTGTCATGGTTTGAATAAACTATGGAAATATTATTACTAACTGTTAATTTGAATTATTGTGATGGTTCAAAAAATTGACTTTCTTTTCAAAAAATATTCGTTTTCGGTTTCATTTGAATGAAGTTGAGTTACTTCATCATATATCTAATTTATAGTCTATATATTTCAACAGTCAAATTTTATTGCTTTTCAAGAGCTGATTCAATAATTTCAGGTCCTCATTCAATTAACTTTTTTCGCATTAACGTCATGGATAAATATTAATATATTACCTATAATTAGCAGAATATAATAAGGCCAAACTTTTGAATCCATATCGTCCAGTCAATTTTAATGAAGCACTTCGAAGAAATCAAGGTTTTAGGTGACGGCGCCTTTGGTGTAGTTACTAAATGCCGAAACCTTGATAATGATCAATTTGTTGCTATTAAGAAAATGAAAGCTAAATACAATAGTTTTGAAGAATGTCTTCAAGAAAAAGAAGTTAAGTCATTACGTAAGATCAAACATGAAAACGTCGAGAAGTTATTACAAGTTTTCCGTGAAAATGACCATTTATATCTTGTTTTTGAATTATTAGATGAATCGTTACTCAAAACAATGAGCAAACGCACTCAACCATTCTCAAATGAAAAAGTCCGTTACATCATGGGCCAAATTTTCCCAGGATTAAACATAATTCACAAGCAAGGCTTTTTCCATCGAGACATGAAACCCGACAATTTACTTTGGAGCCAAGATGGAGTTCTAAAGATCGCTGATTTTGGCTTGGCACGCGAAATTCGTAGCCGACCCCCTTATACAGAGTATATTTCCACTCGTTGGTATCGTGCCCCTGAAATTATCCTTCGCCATCCTTTTTATAACTCGCCAGTTGATATATGGGCAGCAGGAGCGATCATGGCTGAGCTTTACATGTTGAAGCCAATTTTCCCTGGTTCATCAGAAACAGATCAAATGTACAAAATCTGTTCAGTGCTAGGCAATCCTACAATGGAGACATGGCCAGATGGTGTTAAGCTTGCCGCTAAGACAGGTTTTAAGATGGGAAATGGTTATCATACTTCATTACAGCAATTGATGCCAAATGCTTCACCAGAAGCTATAGACCTTATGATACAATTGTTACAATTCGATCCATCTAAGCGTCCAAGCGCTAGCCAAGCTCTAACTCATCCATTCTTCAAAGGACCTTCAATTAATCCTCGCCAAAACAACAACGCGCAATCTAACAAGATCACAAGCTCAGAAACAGAGAAACGAATACCAGATAACAAATTCAATTCGGTAAATTACATCTTATCAACTCCTACGGCTCCGGTCATGGCAAATCCGAAATTAAATACTGGAGGATTCAGAGCCAACAAAGATACACCGGAAATTCAAAAACATACGGGCGGATACCTTAAAAGTAACATATTAAAAGGTTTAGGACCAAGACAGACACCATCGTCACTGGCAGCACAAGGCAATAGCTTTGGCGGTAATACTATACTGAATTCTCTTAATGACGACTTATTTGACGATATTTTCTAATTTTATCTACTGTTGATTTGTTTGTTTTCTCTTTGTTTATAAATGTTTTGTTTTGTAAGCTAAAACCTAACAATTTTCCTTAATTTTGGACTATTAAATCAGTATTTGCCTTACTTATACTGAAAATGAAAGGTTTTGTGGTGCATTTATGACTTTATACCTCAATGTCTTTCATTCTCAACAGAAATCCACAAAATTTAAGTTAATCTTTTGAAATTCAGGCAAGGTTTGGATTTTTTTTCTATGTTTAGTTAGAAGTTTCATGGTGATGATTCGACATCAGCATGCAGCAACTCTCAATTTTTGAATTTGTATCAAATTATTGTTGGGGCATTTTCTTAGGAGAGGGTAAATTTGAATACCATTCAAAAGTAAAAATTCACAATTTGTTCGATTTGGACATATAATCTATTATTATATATAATTTAATTAAGAAAAAAAATAAAATGACCTGCATATATTAATTATTTAGATTGCAAGATTCAAAAAAGCTATTAAAATTAGGGACTAAATAAATAGCGAATTGATTCATATGGATTTATGTAATTGTGAACATTAAAAGAGTTTATTTATTGATCTAATAAAAAGGTAAAAAAGGGGGTTGGCGTCCTAAGGCGTCCTAGTGTAAATTTCTCAAAATTGTGATATTTACATCACATTTTTGAGAGGTTTATGGGCGTCCTAAGGGAAAATTGAATAGCTAGGGCGTCCCGAATTTTCATTCTAAGATTTAAATATATTATATACTTAAGTATAATACAAGCAATATAAAAATTAAATTTTTATTATGTTAACTTATAAGAAATTTTTTTGAATTATCGTTGATTTATTGTAATCTTTCCAGGCTATACTTTTGAAATCAACTTTACCTGTCATACGCATTAATGTAGTAGATGTCCAGGTGTAGCTATTATATCCCAGCAACATTGGTATTTTATCATTGTAAGATATCAAAATGAAGCGTTTTTTCAGATATAATTTTTCGTAAATTTTTCAAAAATAAGATGGTAAAAAAGCCTCGACTTGCTCGAAAAATAACAATTTTTTTACTTGTAAAAATAACCCTTTTACAGCATGGGCAGCTATTCAATCACTATTTCTTTTTCTAAAAGTATATTTTTCAAAAAAAATTAAGATCAAATTCGACAATTTCTTGATGAAAGCAAAAATATTACACATACTTCTAGATGCATGGGATAAAATATGCAATTATTCAATCAATTCGCATGATTTGAAAAAAAAATCTAAATTTGATAAAAATGTAGAAATTTTTTATTTTTAACTTGAGATTCGATTTTTTGATCCAATTTGTGAATTTTTTTTGATCGGAATTTCAATTAATTTGTTGATCAAAAATGACCTCACAATGTTTGATCATAAGTGAAGTCATCTTCATGGGTATTTAGAAATTCCAAGAGAAATTGCTTATTTCTCGCAGATGTAATATCTGAGAAAATCGAATTTAAATATTCATAGAAACCCAAATCATTCTCCGGTTCGAATAATTCATCTGTTGCTTTTTCTGTTTTTTCTATGAATTTTAATAATTTGATTAATAAATCTTCATCAGGAAGAATTATTGCTGCATTTGTGATAAAATTCCATATTGATGTAATATAGCAATAATTACATTTATAAAATGTAATTTTATCCAAAATTTTTTGGCAAATTCGCATAATAGCATTAATATTTGAAGCTGAGATTAAACCTGTGATTACTTCTGTAACTTTTGGAAAATCATCGCAATTTAATATCTCTTTATATTGAATTGAGAAATAGAAAAAAATCAAATGGATTCATTTCTTCAATTTCAAGGAGATTGTAAAAATTGATAGAAGTGTTATTGCAACAAATTGTATTTGCAGTAAAAAATATCATTTGCTCGATTCCATTTTTGGAATAAATTTGCTGGAACAATGTTAAATTAAAACAGTTGCTTAATTTTTCTTCATTGTTTTCATAAAAAAGTAACAAGTTTGCAACTGAAATTTCAAAATTTTGATAATTGCCAGTTATTTCAGTAAATATATATATTTGCTTTTCTTCATCTAAAAATGGCAAATATTGATTTGCAATATTAACTAAAGTTTGGGATAAATTGTTCCAGTTTGATTTTACAATTTGTGAGCAGAGTAGGTGCCAAAAGTGCTTACTCTTAAACAACCGTCGGATTTCCGGGTGAAATCGTGACACACTTTCGTCTTTCGTAGGCGGTGGTGGTTGTTACAAAAGGTAACTTCGAATGTAGCGTGAAATCTGCAAAAAAAATTCTGAAATTTGAATGGATAACACAAAAATTGAATAGTTTACGTCAATAAAAAAGAGAAAAATGAAGCCAATGTGTCTCGAACCTAGGACTTAGAGCAGCAATCCCACTGTTTATCACATTACACTACATGCATCTCTCACCTCAGTGAATGAGATCAACTATATGATAACTTTTTCCCCATTATATTCTTGTGGAAAAGTGACAAATAGCAACTTTGACCCTCTCTCTTTGTGAGCACATTATGTAATATGTAAATTTATCCGCTTTGTAGGAATTTAAAATTGTTTGTTGTTCTGTTTCAGTTAAATTACTGAATTTTTCAAGATTAATATTGTGATAAAAAATAGAATCCTTGAAACATTCTGATATCTTTTCAATGTTTAAAACGGATGCTAAAAAATGTAAAAGAACTTCATCAGTCACTGTGATTTTTTTGAAAAATTTATCCCAATTCAAGCATCCAATTGATCTTTCTGTCATTGTACTTATGCATTGATAAAGTTGATTTAATGAATCCGAAGAATAATCATTATGCTTGACTAGTTGAGTTAGTTGATACAGACTGTCGTCAGCCATTTTAAAAAAATGAATAAAATTGTATAGTAAATTATATTTGTGAAATTTGTGACGCTACATTCAATCTAAGACCAATATCTCAAAGAATTACTCATTTAAGTATTACTTTTCATTGTTTTTTAAAAAATATCTTTGCTTATTTGTTCACTTTTTTGACATTTATTATATGCTTTTTATCATATTTCCGATGATATGAATATATATTCTATATAAGAATGACGCTACATTCAATCTAAGACCAATATCTCAAAGAATTCCTCATTTAAGTATTACTTTTCATTTTTGATTCAATTTTCGAACGGTTTTCGTAAATTTTGCATCATTTCATTTTTTAATGGGAAAATCATCTATATTTAATCAAAAAAGAGCAAACTTTACAGACGAAAATAAAATATTTATCAGGGAACAATCTGATAAATACCAAAAATCAACATCGAGAGATGAAAAAACGAATATAATCAAACAAGTTCTTCAATATTTTAATATTAAATACGCCGAAAATGAATCTAAAGCTGTCAGAAGATATTTTAGTTATATTGCAGTTAAAAATATTCCCGCAGTTACTGGAAAATATCCTGATACAATTGTTCGCAAAGATATGCTTTATTCGCATGATCATACAAATATTATTAATTCAAATAATATTGAACGTTACTACCGTTGCATCGATCATTCTTGTCAAGCACGTTATTTAGTTAAAATTGAGAACAGTTCAGTTTCCGAAGATTTACAAAAGGAACATATACCCGAATGCAGACAATTTAAAAAGTTACAAAATGAAAAAAATGATCTTCATAAATCAATGACTCTGACAGAAATATACAATAAGGCAATGGCAAAATTTTCTGAAGACAACGGCACTTTTCAGCAGATTAAAAAATTTATGACAGAACTTGCTGTTGGTACTGATGAAAACCCATTAATTAAAGATTCATTGGTCAGGGAAGTTTATAATAAGTCCAGAAAATTTTCTGTTGGAGAAAAAATTACAGACGATGAAATTGCTAATTTTTGTTTAATAAATGGCGAGCAGTTTTTCATTGGCCATGATTTTCAAGCAAATTGTGAGACGATGTTTTTTGGTTTTGAGAAGGCAATTCAATTTGCAAAAGAAGCCACAGATTTATTTTGCGATGGAACTTTTAAAATTACACCAAAACATTTTCAAAAAGGACAGATGCTAACAATTATGATTTGTGAACCTTCAACAAATCAATATCTACCACTTTTATTTATATTCATGAAAAACCGCACATTTGAATCTTATAAGAAGGCATTTGAATATATTTTTACTGTCAAGGGTATTCAATTTTCAAAGCTAATTCAAATTCATTGTGATTTTGAAAAGGGAATGATAGAGGCACTTCAACAAATTTTCCCTAAAGTCCGTATAATTGGATGCCTATTTCATTTCAAACAAGCTTTACACAGGAAACTTGTAGCACTTTATACAAAAAATTTCAATACTTTACAAAATTCTTTATTTAAGCTATATTCTATTACTCCATTCATGTCTCATGAAGAATTTGTACTTACAATGCATATAATTAATCAAAATAAAGTTGATTCGATCAAAGATTATATTGATTATTTCAACAAAGTTTGGTTGCCGCACTACAATTTAATATCTCAATATAATAATGCAACTGCAATATTCACTAATGATTGCCTCGAGAGTATGCATTCAGAATTTTCTTCGTTAAAACATCCAAACATTTATGAAGCTATTAAGAAGATATCTCAAATCCAATTAGATAAATATAACGCCATCAAAAATAACCAGAAGATCGAGCGCCATATAAAAACCGTTATCACTGATAGCTACAAAAATTATATTCTTGACTGCTTTCAAAAAGAACTTGAGAAAACAATTTTTTCTATCAAACAATACAACGTAAGTGATCTTTCTTTGGCTCAGAACGAGATTTCTCCATATGGTTCCATAGAATCGAGTTCATTGTTCGAAAATATTCCAGTTCATGATGCAGATATACTCAAATCGATCGATCTAACAGATAAAGATACAATGATCACTAAGTTTATTAATGAAAAAAGAGAAAAAATTATGGCATTATTTAATGAAACATTAAATCATCCAGATTTTTAATTCATCCCCTCCAATTCAAACTAATTTTGAGCAAGCCGATACAAATCAAGGTTCAGATGCTCCAATTCGCTCCGAAAATTCAAATATTGCAGACTCTACAGATTTAGAACCAGAAAATCAAAACCATCCTTCTACAAATCAAATGTCTAGTAATCTAGAACATAAGCTGGACCTTCTTGATCATATTGAAAAACAATTATCGAAAATGCGCTCGTTATTGGGAATTCTTCCTACTACAAATGCTATTGTTGGGCCGTCAAAACAAGTTTCAGTTAATAGCAAGCAAAATTCTGAAAAAAATAAAAAATCTTCCATAACAACAAAATCAAACAATAAAAAACAAAATTCATCCGACAATCCTCCTAAACGTAAAGCTCCTATTTCGGAAAGGATTCTCAGCGATAATAACTTATATTTTCAAGTTCATCGAAAGAGATCGAAAAGCAAACGTTCCACATCTACAGAGAAAAAGAATTGATATATGAAGTCTAATTCCTTTTATAACTACTATATTTTTATTCTTATGACTAAAAAATAATATATTATTTAACAATTTTCATTTTTTTCTTTTAACAATTTCGTTTTATTTCCATTTATTGTTAAATGATTTTTAGCATACACCTTTCTTTGTTCATCTTCTAAATACAATTTATTTTTTCTTAGATATAATTCTATTCATTCAATTCGATCGTCATTTTTCAGTACATGATCGTAATTTTCAATTATTGATCGCGATTTTACTTCAGAATTTGTTCGCAATATTGCTTATCAAACTTATATCTCTATTCTCTCATTTCTGTTTAGTCAATATCATTACACTCCTATTGTCTAATAACATGCTATTAATTTTCTTAAAATTAAAAAAAAAAATATCAACTTTTAAAAACAGAAACTTAACATCCGTAGGTCAATGGATTTTGATGTGAGATACATTTAATCTGTTTTTCTTTTTTTATTTTAAATAATTGAATATTTATAGTTGTTATGGGTCTTACATCATGTAAAACGAATTTTCTTAAAGTAAATTTACTTTTTCTTCAATCTTTCTTACATATTTATTAAAAAAAATTATCCAAAAAAAGATGTTTTAGAATGAAAAAAAATAGAAAAATCTTCATTTATAGTCTTTCTTGAATGTATACGAAAAAAAAAAAAAAAAAGTAATGGGGCCTCCAGGCACTTCGTGCCCTCTAGCCCCAGTCACTTTTCTGTCACTTTTCAGGTAAAAACATTTTTTATTATATATATAAAATGAATTTTACAAAACCACCGTTACCCTTCTTTGGAAATAAGAGTAGATGTAAAGATATTCTATTGAGAGAACTTAAGAAACTACCGAATGGTCTAACATTTGTAGATTTGTTCGGTGGAAGTTTCTATATATCCCATCTGTGCCATACAATATTTCCTGACTCAAAGATTATATGCAATGACTTCGACAACTATATGAACCGTCTCAAACATATACCAGACACAAACAAAATATTGAAAGAGTTAAAAGAAAAGATACCTATAGGTAAGATGGAAAGTATACCATTAGATAAGAAAGATATTGTGAGAGAGGTTTTGAAAAAAGCAGAGTATATTGACTGGGATAGTATATCTGCTAGACTATTATATAGTGGTTCTATAAGAGTTCATGACATTGAAACACTTATGTCAAAAGTTTTATATCTTAACTATACAAAGGTTTTCAAAGAGGACATAGAAAAATATACTGAGGGTATAGAGTTTGTGAGATGTCATTGGACAGAGTTGTATGAAAAATATAAAAACAAGGAAAATGTTTTCTTTATAGTAGACCCGCCGTTCTATAACACATACGATTTTCAATACCAAGTAGACTGGACTTTGAGAGACTCTTTAGAAACTTTAGACGTTTTACATAACTGTCCATGCTTTTACTTTACATCCGATAAAAGTGGTTTGGAAACCGTTATGAGATGGCTAGAGGACATACATGACTATGAGTTTAGATATGACAAGATAGAATATGAGAGAGGTCCTATAAACCGGAGAAAGTGTCACAACAAAGAAATTTTATTGGTAGGTAAATGTGGTTTGAAATAGGACTACTTGTTTTAGGTTTTTTCCATTGTGTCATCTATTTCTTTGACGTGGCAGAAAGATACAGAGAATATGAAGATGAACCAATGCCAGCAAATGTTCAGTATATGTACTCGTAAGAGATATTTTTATCTAATATTAAATGGACGCACAGAACTTAGCAAATGCACAGCAACCTGGACAACCAAACCCAGAGAATATTCCAAATGAAGTTAGAATACAAACTGCAATGGCAAACTATGGTCAAGTGCCAACAGATGTACAAATGCAAACTGCCATGTCAAATGACGCTGCGTTAGGTTTGCCACCATGGTATGCAAATATGAGATGGAAAGAGTTTTATACAAACCCTGAAGTGGGATATAAACAACTCTATGCAGATGACGCGAACACAGGAGTTGACCCAGAGTATGTTTTCTACCAGAGGAGAAATAGAATGTATGAGCTCCAGTTAAAGAATGCTATGGAACTCAGAAGGAAACGTAAGAGACTAGGTGGACATTAGATTTTTACATATAGTAAAATGGGTTTCTTTGGAAGAATAGGAAACTTCTTTCGAAATGTTGGAAGAGGTATATGGAATGGAATAAAATCTGTCGGAAGAGGAATTTGGAACGGTGTCAAAAATATTGGTAAAAGAGTAGGTCAGTTCGTTGGTATTATACCTAAAGACCCTGAACCAGAAGAACAAGCTCCTGTTATACAACAGCCTGAACCTGCACCACAGTCAAGTTGGCAACCAAATCCAACACCTCAACCGTATTAAAAAATTATATTTTTACCGTTCGATAGTAGTTGTATATGAAACTAAGTTCTAAGTAAAACGCATGGTATAATGGAACTATTCTCTTTCTTCCATCTGTTGTAAACCATACTTGAAAGTCTGAAATACTTCCACTTGGTGGTTCATATAGCTTTGTAGGTTTTTCGTAAAAGTCATTTGCCAAGCATAAAAAAGAGTTTTGTGCACCAGAAAATGAAGCATGAACTATAATAGCGTCTGAGTCGAAAACATTTTCATATGTTCCATTAGGGTTTTCGACTTCATAAAAGTCCGGGTGTACTGGATATTCTGCAGGCTGATTTAACATCCTCAAAAATCTATACCATGCCAAGTTGTTATATTTTGTAGAAATATAAACGTTTTCTCCAAGGTCTTCTATTTTATTGAATTTAACAGTTGCATTTTTCCTGTCATATATAATATCGAGATGGTACTCTCCCTCGTCAATGTTATACTGGTTTGCATATTCGAGATAGATATCGTTTATTTTTTCTTGAAAAGCTTGAAGAGTTGTTTCTAAGTTTACAAGCAAATTCACTTGTAAAAGTTTTCCCTGTTCAAATTTCTCATACGTACGTTTTTCTTTGTTATAGTATCGAACTTCAAAACCGACCGTAAATGGGAAACCATGTATGGCTTCTGAAATGAACTTCATTCTACGAAAGCCAATAGCTTTTGTGACGGATGGGTCTCTTAGCCATCTTAACGGGTAGTCAAAACGATAGCCTTCATGCTTTACGGTCTCTGTCTCAAACTTTTGACCGACATTCGTAAAAAGTTCATCTAATGGTTTAGTTGTAGCAACTCTAGAAGTTTCTTTTTCTATTGGAAGCATATTTTATCTAGAATAAAAATGTCAAATGAAACAGCGTCTATGAGAGAAATACAACACAACCGACAACTCATTATACAAGCTCTAAATAAGAACACAACAAACTTTTCAAACTATTCTAAGATATCTGAGTCATTGAAAGAAGGAAGCTTAAAACTGACATTAAACCCAATGACAGATGAGTTTCTGTTTCAAGACAACAAGAACCATACTGTTTGTATAAATCCAACAAAAGGAACCTTAAACGAGAAACCTATAGATGAACTTCTTTTGAAAGCAGATGTTGACAACAAAGCTGACAAAGAGTATGTAGACGATGCAATAGCAAAAGAAGAAGAAAGAGCTAACAAAGCTTATGCAACGAAAGAACATACTCATCCTGAACTAGCGGACAAAACATATGTTGACAATAAAATGTCAAGTGAAGTGACAAGAGCTGACAAAGAATATTCTAAAAAGACTCATACACATTCTATATCTGATATTACAAACTTACAAGAAACCTTAAACAGGAAAAGTGACGTTGGACATACACATTCTATATCTGATATTACAAACTTACAAGAAACCTTAAACAGGAAAAGTGACGTTGGACATACACATTCTATATCTGATATTACAAACTTACAAGAAACCTTAAACAGGAAAAGTGACGTTGGACATACACATAACTTCTTCTCAACTGTTGGTATAGAAAGTATTTTAGGAACGATTGAAGAAACTGGTGGGGGTGGATTATATTTTAAACCTCCTAACTTTCCACAAGGTTTAACATCGGATAAAGACATTAGATGTAGAAATGTCTATGTCATGGAGGATGAAAAAAAAGTTAAATTCACTGCTCAAGATTTATATGACAAGAAAGCTGACAAAACAGAGCTTCAAACATTAAAGACAGAAATACTTCAAACACTATATCCTATAGGTTCTATTTATACGTCAATGAACTCTACCAGACCAGAAGTAGTACTTGGTTTTGGAACTTGGACTCAAATAGTCGACAGGTTTTTGTATTGTGCAAACTCTTCAAAGGAAACAGGTGGAAGTAAAACGATTTCAGGTGAAAACTTACCTGCACACAGTCACTACGTAGATTTAAGTACATCTCAAGCAGGTTGGCATAAGCATAGATATTGGGATTGGTCAGCAATGACAAAAGGTAAAGGATATGATGTTAAAGACAACGTTAAGTTTGCTATAGATTGTTACTGGAGTAACACTGAGGGAGGAGGAAACCATACACATCGCGTTTTAGGGTATACACAAGCAACGGGACAAAGTAAAGACTACATGCCACCTTACATGACAGTTTACGCATGGTATAGAATTGCTTAGTCGTCATTTTCAACTTCTTTAGCATATTCGTCAGGAGTTGTCTTATATTTGTTAGGAACTGTCTTTGAAAGTATACCACCTTGAACTTTGACAAGTTTGAAACGAGGTCTGACAATAGTCGTTTTATCTTCTGCTTGCAGTCTGTACATTTTGCCATGTTTGCCTAAAACTTCATAATATTCTCTTGTATACTTTCTTCTATTTTTACGAACACGAATGTGAGTACCTGTCGGGTACTTGTTGTTGTCATAGTCAATAGTATTTTCATATGGGTCGCGTTTAGGTATTTCTATTTTTACTTTGTCTCCTTTCTGAAGTTTGAAGCCCGGCATTCTTTCTTGTTTGTCTCTTTTGACTAAATTGTTAAATATATAGTCTTTCTCTAAGTCAGGGTTGTTTTTCATTTCTTCGGGGAATGGTTTCCCAAACCTTTTTGTTTACGGCTATTGTAAATATTTAAAACTTGTCTCATCTTTGCCATGGAGAAATGTCTGTACTTGTCGTCATATGACATTTTCATCTACCTCACCACCTTGTGGTTGGTTTAAGTCTCTTAACATTTTTATACAACCGTCAATGACACAAGAGCAGAATGGTTTTGGTCGACAATGAAATATTGGTTTACATTTTTTTGAACGCAGATAGTTTTTAATATCGTCTGATTGAAAGAACTTTTCACAGTCAGATGTCAGTTTTGTTGTGGATGGTATTGTCAACGAAATATTGTCAAAGCAGTTTTCACATCTAAAATATTTTTGGACCATAATGGTATGGCTTCACAGTATCTTGTGTTTTGACCAACAAATATTAGCCAGTATGGTGGTCCATCTTCTCTATACCTCGGAATGTTTTCCAAGATATCCATAAACCAAGCATTTGGTGTTGAACTAAAGATTTTTACCATGAGTGCTTTCTTTGTCGCTTTAGAAACATAGGGGTCCTTGTTTGGATTCGTCATTTTTTAACCCATAAGAAATGGGTTTATTTGGCGCGTTAGCAGGAGTCGCATCTAGATTTTTACCCGCAGTGGGAACAATAGCAGAGGTGTATTTGGAGTTGGAAGGAAGATTTTGAGTACATTAGGTATACTTAAAGAGAAAGCACAACCTATTATACAAACTGTACAGAAAGGTTGGGATGTAGCACGAGATGCAGCAAATCTTATTCCAAATCCTGAAACAAGAGGAAAAGTTCAAGGATGGATGGACAATGTAGGAAGACAAGCAGGAAAACTACTTAACAAAGCAAATGACTACTATAACCAAGCAGGACACTATATGGACCAAGGTGAAAGATTCTTTAACAGAGGATATAACCATGCACAACAGTGGGTAAACAACAACCAACCTCAACCGCCTCAAACGTGGGGAATGTAAAGTTTTTTACTGAGATGAAATGAACAATACAGCTTTGAGACAAATGGGCTCAAGATGGATTTGTCGACTTCCAGCAGTTACACAACCACGTGTTTGTCAAGTTCTTCCTATACCTCAGGAAGTTTTAGACCGACTTAAAAAACAACAACAACCAGTTGAAAACAAACCAAACTAAAATTTTTTACTGAGATGAAATGACCGAAGAAGTTGAAACGGTAGATTTGACACCACAAACAAAAAGTTCAGAACCATTGTCAAAACCTGTCAAAGAACTTACAGATGAAGAGAAAAATTCAATAATAGAAAGTGCCAGGTCTGGAAATACAAACTCTAACTACAAAGTCACTTTTCATAAAAATGGAACGGCTAGTATCTCAAAAAAGAAACAGACTCTCACAAATAAAATATTGAAGTCTGAAGGAGCTTTCGAGACAACAGATGGAAAAGTTTACTTCACTGACCAACAGTTCATTATAGAACATCTCATTGACTTAGAGTCGAAATATTCTAAACTTTACAACAAACACAAAAAGTTGAAAGGAAAACAAAAACAAATGGCATATGATATTTATGAAGATGTTGACGACACAACTGTTCCTGCAAGTGAAGTAAAGTCAGAGGAACCGAAAAGTGACGAAAAACCGATAGAAGAAGAAAAACCAAAAACTGAAGATAAACCAAAACCAAAGTTTAGTTTCCAAACTAAACCAAGTCAACCTTCATTAGCTGGTATGGGTTGGCGTCAAAGACTTATGGCAGCAGGTGGTTATGTAAAGTAAAGAGAAAAAATATATTTTTTATTTTTATAAAAAATGCCCCTACATAGAATGGACAGAAGGTCTGCTAGAATAAAAGCAGAGTTAGAAAGATATGGCTGGAGAGTTTCAAAGAAGTTTAAATATAGGAAGGGAAGACCCATAAAAGTCTATGACAAACTTGCTGGTCTGACCTATGAAATGGACTTAAAAACAGCACGCGCAAACTATCCAAACAGATTAGAGAGGTTAGAAGAAGAACGTCTTATGGACATGCCTTTCGATGTTACTGAGCCTCAAGTTGAAGGACACGACGGTTTTACCAGATTCTACTGGAAACATGACGAACAATTGTATCCTTTGAGAAGAAAAAAGGGTAGTGGTGAAGACGCACATGCTCCCATGGAAAGAACAAGATATGCATATGAGAAGTACCGTGAAGTTAGAAGTAAAATTGCATCTGGTCGAACCTTTACAGTAAACTTTGACAAAGGAAAGAACAAAGAAGGCTTCATGGGTGTACTTGCTGCAATTCAAGACGGAAATAAGAAAGGACACAATCTCAGATTGACCATAACAGATTTGGACGGTCACATTTACTATGCATATGGCAATGAACAAACAGCCGCAAAACTTCTTGACGCTTTCAAGACTACAAAGAGAGAACAAATGGTTGACTCCGACTCAGACATTTTGAATGCAATTGAAGGAATTGCAAGTGTCAAGTTCGAATGGTACCAACCTAACCCTCAAGCAGTCAGACAACATGCTGGATACTTCCCCTTCATAAATAAGTCTGACATTGACTTGACAAGGTATGGAATTTACAATTCAATTGAAACAATTGTCAATGAACCTTGCATTCTTACATGTCTCAGGAACTCTGGTCTTGTTACAGATGAGAAGATGAAGTATCTTGAGTCATGTGTGAAGACAAGGTACATTCTCAGAGGTCAATTGGCAAAAATTGCACCGTTGGCAAATGTCAATATCCGAGTCAACATACCTACAGCTAAAGGTTCTTCACATGACGACTATGTTGTTGACAAAGACTTACCATGGTTGAAGATTGTAATTGTCCACAACCACTTCATGTTGAACGAAAGTCTTACAAACCCATTGTTCGGAAGTGGTAAGTGCAACATTGTCAGAGCTGTAAACATTCTTTTCGAGAAAGGTTTGTTGGAACCAATTCCAGATGACAAGCTGACAGAAACCTTTGTACCAAAAGACGAAACAAACTTTTCATTGTTAGCAAGACCAAAAGTTGTTCGAGACAAAGTTCTAGCACAAAAGAAGTACACAGTTCCACAAGGAGTTGGTTTGTTCGGATACCAACCTGAACCAGAAGAACTTCCAATGAGGTTGCAAGAACTTCAAGATGCTATAAACAAACTACAACTGAGACATCCAATCGACGTCAAATTGTATTGGAGAGCATCTGAGTTAGGTCAGAAGGTTTTATATGAAACAGGTTGCTTTGACGATGTTTATGAGATAACAGGAGAAGTTTCTCAGAAGATAAGAGACTCACTTGAATTTCCACAAACTGGACCAATTGGTTGCGACAAGTTCGACTCAAACGAAAAGATATACTATGTCGACCTTAACGCTGCATACATGAGGTTTGTCCAATATATTCCGACTGGAATTCCAAACGAAGATGGTGAGTTCCCGGGAAGGAACTATACAGTTGGAAAAGTCATACAACAACTGTATGATATTAGGAAAGCTTCAAACCCCAAACTTGCAACGACACTCAAATTGCTTATGAATTCGACATGGGGATATTCCATTAAGAAACCTCAAGAGATGAAGAGTAAACATTATGAGAAGGTCGACAACTTTGTTGAAAGGTTTTCTCCTTTTGTTTTGAAGTACGAATTCACTCAAGGTCAAAGTGGCTTAGTAACCACATTAAAACCTATTGTCGAACATTGGTCTTACCCTCAGTTCGCAAAAGCAGTCCTTGACAACTACAACAAATTCTTCTCCGAAGTCAAATCCAAAGTCAAGGTTTACTATGAGAACATTGACGCACTCATGACGAACGAAGAAGGATACAACAAACTCATTGAAATGGGTTTAGTCGGTGAAAAGATGGGTCAATTCAAATTGGACAAAATTTTCACCGAAGTTCATGTACTCTCCAAGCGTAAGTACTGGGGTGTTAAAGAAGATGGTGAAATAGTTAAACATTGCATGAAATAAAAACTTTTTTATTTGAATTTAAATGTGGGAATTCTTGGGAACGTGAAAGGCTTATTTACTTGAGGAACAGGTAAAGGTGGTGGAGGTGGTGGCAACCAGTCCATTTTATATTCCTTCCTAGCTAATTTCCGTTTAATTTCATGGTCGCCCTCGGAGTCTTTGAATCGGACAGGTCGAGTTACACCATTCTTGGTCTCAAACTCATATATAACCTGTTTGTCTGTATTTTCGTCGACTATGGCACGAGACACGAACATTGACCAAACGGACAAAAAGTGTCATTTCGGATGGTCAAGCAGCCAATCGCATTCGAGCACTTCGAAGAAGCCTTACGTTCCAAGGGAGAGGGTGTCTGGTGCAAGGCAGAGGTCATGAAACTCTACGAGCAGTACATCCTCAATGCCTGGGAGGACAAATCGTCCTTGGATTGGCAATTCTACCAACTCCTCTGGGACGACCTCCTACGCAACTGGGATGACGAAAGAGTCCAATTCAGAGGTCAGGAACTACTTATCCAAATTACCATTAATTTAAGCTACTTATGCAAATAAACACCTAAATTTACTTGGGGTTTCCCCCTAAAATAAAATTTTTTTACTCTTAGAACCACTCGAGGTTCTCCTTACGGTTGTTGAGCTTGTCACCGTCAATGTGTCTG